GCGAAGTAGTGCAATACCAGTGAATACTGACATTAAACTTACATAGGTTAGCAACTCAGATTTTTGCTCACTAGTCCCATTTGGCAATGTTTCACCTTCCATTTAGGAGTAAATACCTTCACCTAACTAAATATGGATTATAACACCAGGCTTGAAACTTCAGTGGAATAATAGGAAAAAATTTATAGGTTATCTCTCTTAGTACTTGACACACACAATAATCAATATTAAAATGATTGCTATTATGTTTATTTAATAGTGTTTAAAAAGAAACACATGCTTGATGGTGTGCTTTTCAGGGATACTGGGAAAAGTTTAATTACAGTGTTTAAAGCCATGAGGTTTCTCCTTTCTGTAAAGATGTAAAACAGGATTTTCCCTGGTGAGCTAATCAAACAGATTGAGCAGATGAACCTTTGGTGGCTGAAAGCAAGCCAAGCTAGCCCTGAAGGAGTTAGAGGCAACCACACAGTTCAGACTTACCCAGGGACTCTAAAAGCTTATGGGAGAACTTCTGAAGCTTCTCAGGACCTTCTGTGTTAAATCTTGGGCAGAAATCCAGATATCCCAAAGGGAGATAAGAAAAGGAGATATTGTGGAGACACATTCGTTTGTTCATGAATTATTTAGCAAGATGGTGAATCATCAATAGCTTTTCTTCTGGCTGGATTTCTTATCATTTCATGTTTAACACATTAACAGAAGAACAGCCAAAGAGAGGACTGGGAAGTGTAACAGGTATTTTGAGAAGGACTTGATGGAGATGATGTTCATTTGGGAACATGAGGAAGTCATGTTTAAAAATGATACCGTTACAGAGACAAAAATTAATATTAAATGATATTCAGATGACTGGGGAAATTTTCATATCCTGGAGGTTTCATAATGAAGTAATGTGCAGGTAACAATGACAAAAATAGTGGAGTGATTTTAGGTATAGATACACACATATACATATGCATGCATGCAGATATGGGGGAGCCAATAGAATGCATTTAGAGCAGGCAGGAGGACTCAAATTGGTGAGACAAGAAGGGCGGTGATCTTGGAGTAGTTACTAAGAGCTATTCCATTAAAAAAATGTGTGGCTTTCCCTGGTGAAAATATACCAACCAGTTCATTTCTCTTCTCCGGAAGAACTACAAATCTGGGGTTAGGGAAAACCTGGCAGTATTAAAATATCCAATTAGTATAAAAAGCACCATATTCTGGCCTAGATGTACAGTTTAACAGAGTTAATTGGATAGGTAGTCACACTCTAGAAGAGTGTGACTAAGTCAGAGAGGATAGAGAATGACAATGAAAAACAGTTTAGAGGAATGAGTATGGATGGCTAAGCTGGGTTTGAAGGATTTGTCATATGCTATATGTGGTGGTTGGCTTATTGTGATATGTGTAGGTATAAATGCCTCTAGTATAGGAAAATGTATGTGTATAAGTCTGGAGGTATGGAAGGTGTGCCTTGTTCTAAGAAAGATACTTATCCCAACGTTCTGCCATAGAAATATTGATGGCCTAGGGAGAGAATCTGTGCCAGGGTGAGTAGAAGAAGTGAAGAATCTTTGATCTAGTTTTGTTTACTTCTGGTCATTCAAATTTTGTGTTCCTCCTTTCCACCATGCTTGATTTATATCATGATCTGTTCTAGATAGAAGATATATAATTTTCATAACTAAAAAAAGCAAAGAAATTAAAGAATGAATATCATGAAGTGGCACAGAATCCTCCTGTGGCTCTCTTCGGTCCATTGTGCTCTCAGGTGTACTTTAGAAATCAAGTTCTGCTAAAGCTGCTGAGTATATTCAAACAGTTAATATAGTTTAAGTGCACATGCATAATTTTGTAAGAATGTACTGCTGTTAAAATTCATGTAACTTAAAAATCAGGTTTGTCCTTCCCCAGTTTAGACTTACTTTCTATTTTTAAACACAGAATGCAAATTATTTTACAAAATAAAAGAAAGAAAAATGAACTTTTAGTTTGTCTCATTGTGAGACCCTAATTAAAATGTTCCATTTGAAGGATTTTTGTCAGCTCAAATTTTTGTTAAATAAATGTTATATTGCTTTTACTGGAGCATTCGGTTGCAGTATTCCTCGAGGGTAAATTTGCAAAAGACCACTGAGCTGCATACATATGGCTGCATATCTTAAAATACAAATTGCTCCAAGAAAATTTTAATGCATGAAAACACATTAGTCAACAAATTTTATACCTACTAATACAGGAAAATGAAGTACATCAACATTGGCAACATCTTGGGGCTGGAGAGATGGTTCTGTGGTTAGGAACACTGGCTGCTTTTCCTAAGGACCCTGGTTTTATTCCCTCACCGGTATGGTAGCTCATAACCATATGTAGCCATAGCCCCAAGAAATCCAATACTCCCTTCAGGCTTCAGATACTGCATACATATGGTGCACAGACTTACAGAAAGGCTAAACACCCATACACTCCAAATTTAAAAATCCAATCAGCAAGACAATAACAGAAAAAAAAAAACATTAACATTATCCTGAAGCAAGAGCCTTCTGCTCCACAGTCTTACCCTCACAGGCCCTATCCTCACAGAGTCCAACTTTAGCTTGCTTGTCCATGCACATAGGAAACTAAGATTAAGTTGAGCAAATACTGCATTATGAACTGAGTCTGTTTCATTTTCAGGAAGCAATCAGTTCAAAACAAATCTATGGGCTAGGTTAATCCTTCCCGTTTTTAACCCTTTCAATGACCTTTAGGAATTAGGGAACTGGAAAGCAGTCATCGTAGTAATTTAAATAAACCATTATCTGAGTCAAGTTGGATTTACAAAGTGATTTATGCTTTGTGCAATATCGTGACTGTAGTTGCATATAATTTTATTGAATTGTTTCATTTTGTGTTTTGCATTAAAATTATGATAAAAAAATCAGAGTACAGAATTTAATATCCCAATCTAAATATTAGTAGATACAAGTAATTATTCTTGAATTTATTTTTAATAATTCACAAAAGAAGATCTTTTAAGCATATGTGTGCACATCATTCTCCATTGTTGAATAGAATCTTAATGATTTTTGCAAAATTTCTGAGAAATATCACTTGACTATAGTATTTAATCAAGTAAAGTAAGCTTTCAAGACATGCAGCAAATATCAACTTTAGAAGATAGGACTGTTTACTTCATTAATTACACACTAATTAATATAGACATATACATACACTTGTGGGTATTTATAAAGTTGACACCATGCATCATGTTATTGATTTGTGACACATAGAGAAAATGACAGGGTGAGTTCAGTTTATATGTCATGCTCTAACACTGACCCAGTAAATTTAGGTGAATTCATTAAGCAACTTCTTTTAGTAGCCAGGTATGTTGTGAAAGATTAAACTTGAAACTGGAATAGCTATCATATTGCACTGCTATGCTTTGTTATAACCATGTTGTTTCTCCAAATAGATAATGGAGAACATTGAAAGTTATTTAGTTTATTAGACACATATAATTCATTACTGGAATAAGATCTGTTGATTAGCAATTTCTATTAACTTTGCAAAGCAATTTCATTGTGAGCAATACTTGGTTAAATAGAAAACAAATTAAAAATCTTATGTTGTCTCAATTCTCATTCTTTCATTTTAATTTATATTAACTTTATTCACACTGGCCTTTTTTCAATCTCAGGAAAGGGCCAAGTTCATTTCTACCTCTAAGTTTTCTTAATTAGTGCATTAGTCAGGGTTCTTCAGTGTAATAGAACAAAAAGTAAATATACTGACATTAGTAAAAGGTGACTTATTCTGAGAATTTGCCTGGGTAATAATGGAGTCTTGGAAGTCTCACAATATGCTCCACACTAGTGCAATTGACTCTCATCTAAAGGCTTGAACCCAGAGAAAGCAATAGCATAACGACTGGCCTGAACCATAAGGCTCAATAGCTGTTATCTGCCATGGGAAATGGAGTGAGTTCTAGAGTTTGAACATGCAGAATCCAAGAACTGAGATCAAGGAGTAAGACTTCTCTTCCTTAGCCATCTTGTTCTACATAAGCTCTGAGTGGTGATTCCTGCCTACAAAGATGGGACTGAGTCTTCTCTCCTTGATCTAAGGAATCAATCGACATTATCTTTTAGAAATATCGCCACAATTACTTGACTATCTGCATATCTCTGAAGCAGTATAGCTGGTAGGTATTAGCACCAAACACAGCATACTCTACATTGTGGCTCTTGACCACTTATGATTCACTCTCAAATTGTTGCTATTGTTGTTTCATCTTGAGATTGTAATTTAATTATATTGCTTCCTTCCCTTTAATGACTCAAACCCTCACATGTACACCTTTCTACTCTCAAATTCATGGCCTCTTTTATCACTAATTTTTATTTTATTATATAATATATATCTCCTGTTCACTCATGTAATATTATTTGTGTGTATCTTTCTCCAGACTGACCTTTGGCACTGGATAACAAATCCCTGTGTTCTTGCCTGGGGAAGGCCACCTCCTGTGCTCCCGGCTTTCCTCAGTTGCCTATAGTACAATGTGTAGGGATGAGGCCTTGAGGATTTTCTCCATTCTTTTTTAAATATTGTTTGGTTTGTGTCATCCTTTTTGAGATCACATTTCATAAGTCATGTTGTTGAGACTAGGAGACACATACTTATAGAAAGCTATCTTATTCTCTTTCTGTCCACTCTTATTCAAT